ACATTCCGCCGCTGATATTCTTATCTCGGCTTACTTGGCCGAAACAGCTTATCCCTCACTTATGAAACCATCATTTATTATTTATGATTTCAGTCTATGGAAATGCCGGCACCTGCTTCCATGTTAGCTGTACAAATGAATGCTGCCAGCAGGTGCACAAGGGCATGGCAAACGTGGAAGCTCAGTTAGCGGACAATAATGTTATGTTAGCTTCCGTCTGTTAATGATCTCCTTGGCAATGTATAAGGGTAAGTGAAAATAAGCTAGGAAAACAAGCAACAATAAGCAGCATGTGCAGGCAAAACTGATCGAAATTGTCAGTACAATGAAAAGGAACACCACCGTTGACAATGTCATGACCTCGTTGCCCTATTTGCCACTGAGCGTGGTCGAAGCTAATAAAGTATTAATTCGTCGGCTAAGTACAATGGGTGGATGCACACACAAAGCAGCATGTGTTTACATATTTGGCTATTTTCAGGCAAAGCATCTGACCATAGGCGTTCTAAAAGAGAGACACCTCACCCGAAATCGACTAACTTTCCTACTAGACCGACGACCTTGCCATGATTTCTCTTATGCTGGTGAATCCAAGTCCAAGCGTTTCTGTACTGCCTGCCTATGGTATCTATTAAAACCACAGTAAGTCGACTTTCTATTTATCGCCCAACACATATTTAATTGCGAAAATTCTCAGTTTTAATAACTGCCTTACTAAGGCCGAATGACTAGCGGTTTTCAGTTAATTTCATGGATCGAAGGACCGATAGGGAAGGTGATGGAAACACCGGTCTATCATGCATCAGCTATAAAAAATTACTTTGAAGTGTCGTCTACATCCATTTAGGTTCCCACCAATTATTTCGCATGTCCAAAATTATCGCGCCAATAAAAATGGTACATTAACTTATATATTTGCTGGTCATATATAGTATGTAAATTAGCTTATCCATTTCTTGGTAATGAAATTCTTCCTTTTTATTATTGCATACGGCTTACCACAGCTCCGATTCCCTATTTGAACCACTAGTTTACAGTGAACAGGATTAACAGCAGAAGAAAGCGGCGCATATTGACGTTCAACGGAACG